AGTTTCTTCTGACTTCTGGGACCAACTTCTAGACAGTGATCTAGATCAGTCAGAGCCCCATGAGATTAGGGATCATGCATGTTGATAGAGTAGTGTGAGAGCAGTCTTTCCCATACAGTATCTGTTGTGTGGAAAACAAGAGACCTCTGTCTCTGCAGGTGTGATTGGCCCTTTTCACCAGCTGTAAACATTTGCACCTAAATGACAGCCTGGTGGTATTCTAGGCACGGAATTTCTGAGTCTGTTGGATTGTGTTGGCCACAGTGGTACCAGCCCGTAACCAGATCAGCCTGCCTCCTCCCCTGCAAAGGTTCCAGGAAAGTGACAAGACTCTGGAATCTCTTTTCCCAGGCCATTTCGGTCACATCATAACTCTACTGCTCTCAGTAGTTGCAAAGTCTACTGGGCAACCCTTCTAGCTGCTGGGAACTGAGTAATAAGTTATTTCATTAGACCCAGCTAGGAGTGGGAGAAGCTACATAGCAAACACTGGGATAGCTTGGCTCCTCAGCATCTCTGGAAGTTCATGAGCTGCTTTTGCTTTATTTTGCAGGATTATAGCAGCGATTGGAGTCCCAAGGACACAGTCAGACGAATGCAAAGGGGCAAGGTAAGGACATTGCTTTTCCATCTCCTGGTAAGAAGGGTTCTTTGGTGCTCTTAGGCTGCCTTCTGCTTGCACCTGTGTATTGTGGGACTGGACAAGGGATCTGGGCAGCTCCCTACATTGTCTGCATGGCTTTAGCAGGCACAGCTGTCCAAAGTTCTGTGACCACCTATGGCTTTGCCAAATGGAAGAAGAAAAGCAGAAGGAAAGCTCGGAGATACCACTAGAGTTGGTAGGTGACAGGAGTCAATCATTGGGCCACTGCTAGTGCCTTTGCCTCTGTTAGATCCTGGAAACTTCTCCCATGGCATGAAGGTCATTTGCAGTGCCATTGGGCTTTCTGGACCTGGCGTTACGAAAAAGTATCTGAAGGGTCAACTTTAGAGCTCTGGATGTCTTCATAGTTGGTAGCAGTCAGAGGTAGGGGGTGAGGAAGGTAGGAGTTGTCCTGAGTGCAGTAGAGTTGGGATCTTGGTCTCAGCTGCTCAGGATTGGCGGTGAGCTGATGAGTCCTCTAGAGGAGAAGATTATATGTACAGAAGTAACCACCCAACTGCTACTGGCCCTTCTCTAAGGTTGTAACTAACTCGTCTTACCAGCTGGTGAAGGGCTTTCCTCTGCTTCCATCTCCACTCCATTGAGCTCCAAGGCTAAAGGATGGGGGGGAAAGAGCTGCAAGCAAGAGGCAGAATCTTCCACTTCCAGTCTGCTGATTAGCTTCAAAGCATCCCAGAGATCAAGGCCCTTCTGCTGTGATGAGTTCTAGTGGTTTGCCTGTTACAGTCTATTTTGGGGAGCAGTGCATGCACCATGTTGTACTTGAGCTATATACTAGGTGCCTGATGCTGCAAAACTCTTTCAGCGGGAGACTCACAGCCCTGGGCTTAGGAGGAATGCTAAATTTTCTGAAGAGGAGTGATTCATGTTGCTGAATCATTTAAGATTAGAGAGAGGGTTAGGGCCCTATATCTTGGTTGGATTCCAGGCACCTTGCTGATGCAATGTTTCCTTGTCTCCAATGATGTCCCAGATCTGCTCACTGGAGAGATTCCGTTCCCTGCAGGAAAAGCTGATGCTCCTGGATGAAGCTGTTGCAGTGCATGATGGAAATGTCATTACAGCTGTGAGTCCTCCTCTGACTGTATAGGGTTGGGTTAGGGTGGCCAGGATGGCCCTATAAGGGAGTCATATATCCACTAAGGATGTTAAATATCAAGTAATTTACTAGACAAGTAGTGGGTGGAATTTCCATTGACTAGTCGATAGGCACTTATGCATTCCTCCTTTGAAATGTACAAGAACCCCAGTGGAACTTTGAGTCCCCCGCTGACTCCAGACTCCATGAGGGCGTTTCCACTTTGAAATGCACTAAAGCCCCCACTGGGGCTCTTGTACATTTCAAAGGAGGAATGTGGAACTCCCCGTGCAGCGGGAAGTACCGCTGACTCCAGGCTGCATGTAGGCATGCCAGCTTTGAAATGTACAGTAATTCCTCGCTTAACTTGTGCCAGCTTAACACGTTTTCGTGATAGCACAATTTTTTTTTTTTAGGGAACATTTTTCAAACAACACGACCGTCCCCGCAATAACACGATTTCCCCGCCCAGCTGGCAGGTCGCCGGCAGCTGCGTGGGGCTTCCCCGGCCTCCCTGCAAAAGCAGCAGAGGTTTGCCGCTTGCCGCACCATTCCCCAGTGACCTCCTCTGGCCAGATGCCTCACTCCGTCTCCTCTGTCCCCCATGGGAAACAGCACGGTGAGCGGCAAACCTCGGCCGCTTTGCAGGGAGGCAGGGGAAGCCTCGCCCAGCTGCTGGTGACTGGACAGCTAGGGGAACACCGCCCCAGCAGCGGGATTTCCCCAGCTGGCCGGTTGCTGGTAGCTGTGTGAGGCTTCCCCTGCCTCCCTGCAAAAGCGACAAAGGTTTGCCGCTCACCAGACCGTTCCCCGGCAACCCCTCCTCACCAGATGCAAGGAGGCAGGGGAAACCTAGCTGCAAGCGGTGGGGCGGAGGAGAGGGAGCAAGGCATCCGGCCAGAGGGGGTCGCCAGGGAACGGCGCTGCAAGCGGCGAACCTTGGCCACTTTGCAAAGAGGCAGGGAACCCCAGCTGCCGGTTGCAAGCCCCCGCCCCTTTCCTTCCCCAGAGCCAAACATCTCCTCTCCCTGCTATAACCCAGTCCTCTTTCCCCCCCAACCTTCTGTCCCGGTCCCAGCTGCTAACAAGTGCAGGCTGGAGCCGCAAGCGCAAATGCAACCCCGACCTTTTCCATTATTTTCAATGGAAAAATTGACCCTGCATAACACGTTTTCACGTAGCATGATCATTTTCTGAAACATATCTACTGTGTTAAATGAGGAATTACTGTACAAGAGTTCCCATGGGGGTTTTAGTGCATTTCAAAGCATAAGTGCCCTCATGGAGTCTGGAGTCAGTGGAGGACTCAGAGTTCCCCTCTAACTCCGGGCTCCATGCTGTGCTGCCACTTTGAAATGCTACGTGGAGCCCAGGGTCAGCTGGGGACTCCCCAGGTGAGCCCAGGTTCTGCGCGGCATTTCCCCAGCCAAGGTCAGCTGGGGACTCCCCAGTGGAGCCTGGGCTTTGCACAGTTTGAAATGCCGCGCTGGAACCCGGGCTGCACTGTGGAGTCCCCTGCTGACCCCGGGCTCTATGCAGTGTTACTGCTTTGAAACACCGCGGTGGTGTTTCAAAGGGGCAGTGCTGCACAGAGCCCAAGCTCAGCTGTGTGGTGCAACCGCTTTGAAACACTGAGGTGGCATTTCAAAGGGGCAGCACCACATGGAGCCCAGGGTCAGCTCCTTGTGGTTATGTTTTGTTTCTCTGGTATGGTCTCAGTGCAGTGCTGCCTCTTTGAAGTACCCCCTCTTTCCTTCCCCTATCTTATAGAGGCAGCAAGGGGTGGGAGGAGGGATTTGACTAGTCCTTAACATCCTTAATATCCACACAGCCATTTAGCCCCTGAATGCTGTTGGTTTTGATTTAAAATCAGTGTTACCTAAAAGGGCCAGGTGTCAGATCTGAGAAACTCAGTGTTCTCAGTGTCTTGTTGAAAGTCACGTGCTTCTCTGGAACCTCGGGTTGGAATCCCAGAAATTCTTCTGTCTCCTGTGCCCACTGGGTCACATTCCTCTTCTCAGCTTGTGTGCAGGGCTTTGGGGTGAGATGTGGAAAGCTCAGGTCCCATCTGCTGCATTCTGGACTGAATGTCTCATAAGGGGAAAGGTTTGTTCCAGGCTGTTTGGCCTCCCAGAGCATTGTGCAGCAAATGAGCCATGTAGCTGGGCGGTCTGAATCCTCCAGAGATCTAATGTAACTCCAGAGAGGCAACAGGTTTAAAACAAACAAAAGGAAGTATTTCTTCACTCAGCACACAGTCAACCTGTGGAACTCCTTGCTAGAGGATGTGGTGAAAGCTAGAACTTTAACAGGGTTCAAAAAAGTGCTAGATAGATTCATGGAGTTTAGGTCCATCAATAGCTATTAGCCAGGATGGGTAGGATTGGTGTCCCTAGCCTCTGTTTTTCTGGAGGTGGGTGACAGGGGAAGGATCATGTGAGGATTACCTATTGTGATCCCTCCCTTTGGGGCATCTGGCATTGGCTACTGTCAGCAGACATACTTGGCTAGATGGACCTTTGGTCTGACCCAGTATAGCTGCTCTTATGTTCTTAGAGGTGGGTATGCTGCTAGTAAAGTTCTTGGGGGTCCTTTGGGAGGAGCACAAGGGAAATGCTTTGGTTTAAGAAATTTAAATTATAGAAAAGGTAGTATACCGTCTGCCCAAACCAGAGTGTTTCAGCTCACAGGCTCCCCAATGACTGTGCTTGGCCTACGCAGTACAGAAGACACCAGCATTGCTCAGTACAAAACACTGATTGAGCCTTGTGTGAAGGCTGGAGCTGAGATGTCTGTAGCTGAGTGGGCCTCCCTTGATGTGTCTGCCTACCCAGATACTGGGGAGGGTTCACCTGCTCATCTGAGGGACGTCTCTTCTGCTTGCAGATTCTAATATTCTTGAAGAGGACATTGAAGAAAGGTAAATGTGGCTGGGAGGCAACTAGGAGCAGTGGCATCCTTACAGGATTGTATTTCTCAGTTAAGGGGAGCATGGCCACATTCTCTCACCTGCTGCAAGTTAAATGGGAGAGAAGGGCTGAGATCACTCCTTTTGGGTGCTGCTGAACTGACCCAGGCATCTCCTAGGGACAGATGCACCTTCAAACCAGTGAGTGTAATGGGATGGGGATGGGGCTGGCTGTGAAGACCCAGAGAGACTGTATGAGCACCTGGGACCCTGTTAGGAGATGGCAAAGGTTGGGTTGGGATGAATGAGAATGAACCTGTGTGGGATATGACCATGCACAACAAAGTATTCAGCCATTAAACAGATGGAATTGGGTTCCTTGTCCAACCCCTGGTTGCTAGAAGAAGGGCTTGCAGCTTCGTCCATGCTGGAACAGCCTTTGCATGGCTCCTCGGTGATGACATGCTGCCTCTTTCTCCTTCCCTAGAGATTCTCTTTCGAGAGCTGGAGGTGCGACAGGTGGCCCTACACCATCTAATCCATTTCCTCAAAGAGACAGGGGAGCAGAAGCTTCTCCTGGATTTGCTCAGGTGAGGCTGAGCTGAACATATTCTTTGTGGTTGGACCCCAAATGTGGGTGCTGAACAGGACTGATGCTTTGTTTCCCTTTTGCAGGTTCCTGGACAGGACTGAGGAGATTGCTGTGAGTATTCTCAATAATGGCAGGTCTTCCTCCTGTGTGGCTTTTATGAGGTGTGAGGAGACCCCTCAGAGAGGCTGAGAACAGATACACATGCCCCTCCTGCCTCTAGCAAAGGATGCTGTTGTGAGGAGAGCTTGGGGACTGGAAGTGACTAGCCACTCAGAGGCATGGGCTTGTGTCCATGTTTTGTTGGAAGTTGACATTCCAGATCTCCTGAGCCCATTACCATGTGAACAGATCCTGTTTTCTTTCTGCTTCTTCCAGCTGTTCCAGTACCGAGAGCACTTGAGCATCCAGGATGCAGAGAAACGAAGAGAATTTCTTAAAGGCTGCATCAGGTAAGCAGTGAAGCTGGGGAGCTGAATGTGGAGAGTGGAATAAGAAGTGCAGCCTGCTGGAGTAGATAGAGCCAGAATCATAGAGCTGGAAGAGACCTCATGAGGTCATCAAATTCAGTCACCTGCCCAAGGCAGGACCATCTGTTTTTGGCCAAGGCTCAAATTTCTTGGTCAAGGTAAAGTAAAAAAAAAATAGTAAAAAAGGAAAGAAAAAATTTGGGGATCTGTTCTAAAGCATCTGGTGGTCTGGATTTGGCTCATGGTCTGCCTGTTGTCTGTCCCTGAAGTAGATTATGGTTATGTACAGGGCTAAAGGGACATTGGTCTCTCTTTCATCACTGAGTGGAGGTTTGAGGAACAACACAGGGTGATCATGAATAGCCTGTGGTCACCAATATTTTCTGCTGACTTGAGGGCAGAATCACATTGGGGATCTTACCCCATGGATGCAGATGAAACTGGGTGTACTGTGGTGAAATGTTAGTTTCTGGTGGGCATCAGGGTACCACTAGCACTCCTCTGAGCTCCCTTGTCTCATCTATGCCTTTTTGAAGAAGTCCAGGAAGTTTCCTCCTCTGATTGGGTTCTCTTTATAGTTAGTCTTCATCAGAGAGAGCAGGCAGTAATCTGGAAAAGTGAGAGCTTGAGATCTCGCTTGCCTCCCCTCCCTCCCCCCCCAGACCATCTGATGGCTGAGGCCAAAGATCCGAGTCACCACACGTATAGAGAGCAAGAATGTGGGGAGTGCACTCCTTGGGAACATTCTGGTGGAGTGGGGTTTAAAGCACTCCTCCAGGCAAGGTGTGCTGGAAAGAGATGCTGATAGTGACTGTTCTCATCACTTTCTGTTGACCAGGTTGCCATTTTCATCTGAAGATGCCATTCATGTTCAAGATCATTACACGCTCCTGGAGAGACAGATCATCATTGAAGTAAGGGCCCCTGTTCTTTGGCTGTAGTGGGAGTATGTCAGATCTCTTCACCTGTCCCAGGCTCCATCTCCTCTGGAAGGCCTGTTCTAAAGCTGAGGTCCCCCTTCTGGACAGAATAAGAAAGTTCTTAATGACTGTAGCTGACTGGCTTGTCATCTCCAAGATCTAATGTAACTCTCTATTCCCACACCTTGTTCATAGCAGTTGCACCAAGCTATTCCATTAAGAGTCAGATATGCTGATGGTATATGTTGGACATTAGCTTCAGAGCTATACATAGCATTAAGATGGTATCACACTGTCTGGAATGGTTCACACATATGAATGCCAACCTCAAGACAGAACACTCTACACTGGGTATATGTTCTATAATTAGATTCACAAATGTGAACCCCTGAAGCACTGTAACAGTTGTGTGATGGTGCGTTGGGGTTTTCCCGTCTCCTGCACCCCCGTAGTGGCACGAACAGACTCCACCAGTTAGTAGAACAGAGGGAGTTTATTGCTTCTCCAGGATACAGCACAGATGTAATCTGGTTACAGGAACGGGGGCTAGGAGGCCTCAGTGCCCCCCCCTTGAGATGGGGGGGTGGCTGGGCCCTACAATCCCAGCCCCCTCCCTAACTCCTTCTCCCCTGCTTCCCAGACAGAAACTCAACTAACTCACTTCCAGCCCTGCCCCCAGCCACTCCCCTTCTTCCCATTGTTCCGCTCCCTGGGGGCAAACTTGTCAGGTTCGAAGCCCCCCTTGCATAATGACTCATCCCCTGCCCTGCTAAGCCGTGCTGCAGCCAGTGGAGGTCACTCACAACCCATTGCCCAGCATAGCAACCAGCAAGGTACCCCCCACTACGTCACACCCTGAAGCACTGTAACAGTCTTACCATCTAAAGTTACAGATAGTCCCCTTGGGTACACTCCAGGCTGTCTTTGCTTAGGCAAGCTGAATGAAGTGATAAATGGGCACTTACATCAAAGATTTAGGTTGCTCTTAGTCCCAAGAGATCAGTCACTGACCCCAGATCTCACAAAAAAAGATAACACTTGTAGCTAATCCTACAGTGAGCTAAGGATTTAGTAACTAGGAAAAACAATGGTTATTTACAGGTTAAAACAGGGAATGTATATACATACATGTATGGTTCTAAAAGATGATTGAGGTGTAGTACTCTGTCATCACTGAATGTCTTTTTAGGGCTAACCCAGGTTGATCCTGGAGATCTGCATTTGTTTCCTAGCTCTAGCCTGGTGAGAGTCCAAACTGTAAAGAGCTATAGAATTTTCATGTCAGATTTATTAATTTCCTTCTTCCTAAGTTCAAGCTGATGGGATGTGTTTTCTCCTACGTAGCATCTTATGGGTGTGAGACGACCATCAACCCAGACTCTGTATGGTGATGTTTCATTATGGCCCACTTGAGTTTTAAAAATCCTTCTTGATAGGAAAGAACGTTCCTCCTGCCTCGACTCACAAGTTCAGAGGAGACATTTTTACAGTTATAAAGCAAAACTAACCTATTATCTTACAGCATGGGGTCAGACATTGCAAATAAAATTATTGCATGCAGTAACTTACAAGCGTTTTATAGAGTTTAAACTCTAAGTACATCTTTATAAGTCTTACATAGGGATGTAAGCAACTAATAGACTAGTCAACTACCTGATAAGCAAATGCTTATTGCAGTGTTTCCCAATTGGTGCTCCGCGGAACCCTGGGGTCCCCCGGAGCAAAACGAGGGGTTCCACGAAGAGCCGGTGCTCCCCCGCCCCCTCTGAAAAAGAGAGAGAGAGAGCCGGCTAGCCAGCAGAGGTGTGGGCGGCGAGTTGTGTGGGCTTGTGGTGCCCATGCTCCTGCAATATTTGGAGCTGGAGTGGGTCCCGACCTCCCCCCACTCCCGCGTCCTCCCAGCCTTGCCCCAGAGCGTCTCTCCCCCGTCCCTGGACCTGTACCTGCCGTGCGCAACCTTCCCTGAGCTCCCCCTCACTGGCTGCTGCTGCCCTGCGCCACAGGCTCAAACCAGGGGGGGGGGAGACGCCCGGACAAGACAGAAAGGCACA